GGCACGCCTGCACCTCGTTTGTTCTCAGGCATCTCAACTTAAGCTTTTATTGGCCCCTTGTCACCCCTTCCTTGGAAGATGCTGCTGTCAGTCTTCCATCTCAGTGAATGGCATCTCCCCCTACTTAGTTGTTCAAGCTGGATAACTGGGCTTCACCACTGAGACCATCCTGATCCCATCTCCCCACAGCCAGAAACAACGCTGCCTCCAAAACACATTTTGAATCCATCCGCTTCTTTCCATCTACATTTTACCATCCTTGACTCAGACACCCCATTTCCCGCCTGGATTATGCAGTAGCTCCCTCATTTTTCTTACTTCTACTCTTGCTCCCTCCCTCTCATGCAAGTGTTCTCTACCCAGAACCAGACTGATGTTTTTATAATGTAAATCTGATCATCTTACTTCTCTGCTTAAAACCCAACAAGGGTGACTACTACCCTTACAATAAAACCCAAATCCCTTTTTATGGGCTTTGCCTACTGCTCTCATTCAACTTGTTTCATGACCTTCCTTGGGCCTTGCCAACACCAAGCTCTTTTTAACGTTGGGCGCTTTGTACATATCTTTTCCTGCCTGGAATGGTCTCCCCACAATCTTTGCCTAGAGAACTCCCACTCATGTTCAGGTTTTATTTTAAATGCCATCTTGCAAATCAAAACCACGATGAGATACCACCTTACGCCTGTCCAAATGACTGTCACCAAAAAGACAACAAATAACAAGTGTTAAAGATGTGGGGAAAAGGGAACACTTGTGCACTGTTGGTAGAAATGTAAATCGGTGCAGCCACTGTGGAAACATTATGGAGGTTCCCCCCAAAATTAAAAACCTGCCATATGATATAGGAATTTTTTACTTCTCGGTATTTACCCAAAGAAAATAAAAACATTAATTTGAAAAAATATACCCACCCCAATGTTCACTGCAGCATTATTTACAGTAGCCAAGATCCGGAAGCAACCTAAATGCTCATCAATAGATGAATGGAGGGCTTCCCTGGTGGCGCAGTGGTTGAGAGTCCGCCTGCCGATGCAGGGGACACGGGTTTGTGCCCCGGTCCGGGAAGATCCCACATGCGCGGAGTGGCTGGGCCCGTGAGCCATGGCCGCTGAGCCTGCGCGTCCGGAGCCTGTGCTCCGCAACGGGAGAGGCCACAACAGTGAGAGGCCCGCATACTGCAAAAAAAAAAAAAAAAAAAAAAAAAGATGAATGGATAAGGAAGATATGATATATATATATATATATATATACACACACACACACACAATGGAATATTACTCAGCCATTTCAAAAAAAATGAATATTTTCTATTTGTGACAAAATGGGTGGATCTAGATGGTATTATGCTAAGTGAAATAAGTCAGAAAAAGTCAAATACTGTATGATCCCCTTTATATGGGGAATCTTAAAAAAAAAAAAGAAAACAGATTCATAGATAGAGAACAAATGGGTGATTACCAGAAGGGGATGGTGGGGGCAAAATAGGTGAAGGGGATTAAGAGGTACAAACCTACAGTTATAAAATAAGTCATGGGATGTAATACACGGCATAAGGAATAGGTTCAATAATATTGTAATAACTTTGGAGACAGATGGTTACTAGACTTAATCATGGTGATCATTTCATAATGTATGCAAATGTCTAATCACTATGCAGTACACCTGGAATTACCATAATATTGTTCCTCAACTGTATTTCATTTTTTGTTCCTTAAAATTTACCACCTTAACCATTTTTATGTGTATTTTGCCGCAATAAAAAAATTGGGGAGAAAAAAGTCATCTCAGAGAGGCCTACTCCTCAGAGCACCCTGATCTTTTTCTTTTAAAGTCTGTAATGTCTGTTTATTTATTTTTATCCAAATAGCTTTCTGACCCACTTCATGGATGCTGAAATGAAGCTGTTTGAGGGCCCAGTTATGGAAATTCCAGGTGTCACTGCTCCCCCACCCCCACCAGGGTTTGAGTGGAACCTGAGGGTGAGAGCTCCCGCCCATGGCTGGGCCAGCAGACCTAGCGTCCTGTGCTTTTTGTGTCCCCGTGCTGGCGAGGGAGGCAAGAGGCTCTCCTGGCCCCTCAACTCTGGCCCCTTCCAGCCCCCAGCACATCCTGCCCAGCCCTTCCTTCTGCGTCCTGCTGGCGGAGCCCTCAGACACCCCTGGGACCGAATTCTTCTCCCTAGGCCCCAGGTGCCTCCGTTCACCATTAAGGTCAGCCCCAGCTGGTGGGCGCCCCGACTGGGGGCGAGGCCGTGACGTTGCCCCATCTCTGCAGCCAACCCAGCAAGGGGGTGAGGCTCCCCAGACGCACAGGCGACCCGAGGTCACACACCCGGCGGGTGGTCGTCGTGATGCCTAGGGCCCCGCACTCCGTGTGGGCGCGCATCACGACTGGGCAGTGGCAGCCGAGAGTCCTAAGCCTAGAAAAGCCGACCGTCGCGGGCTACCGTGGGAGCAGGCGCTGGTCTGCGGAGGCCGGGCGGGGGCGCAGATGGGGAGCTTCAGGCCACGGGGACAGGCGGCGGGACCCGGGTGGGGCAGAGGGCTCCGGCGGGCTGGGAGTGGGGACTGTGTCAGGGTGGGGCCAGGGGGCGAGCCCGAGGGTGGGTGCGGGCTGGACGGCAGAAGGAGGGCTCCGGGGCCGCAGAGGGGCAGAAGACTGGGGTGGGCGCGTTCGCAGGGCAGAAGACTGGGGTGGGCGCGTTCGCAGGGACCCCCTGCTGGACGCGCTGTGGGGTGGGGAGGAGAAGCAGCTGACTGGGGCTGGGGGGAGTCACGCGGAGGGAGGGTCATGAGGCTGGTCTGGGGAGTGTTGAGCTCGGTCCGGGCTCCGGGGTGGGCTCCTGGGCCAGCTGCAGTGGGACCCTTTAGAGCGGGTGGGGGGCGGGTTGGTGGCGCCACGCCTCTCCTCCTCCCCACTAAAAACATCTCTGCCTCCCAGCTGCGTGACCTTGGGCTCTGTTAAATGGGCTTATAACACGCCGAAGTGGTAGGTGTTTTCAAAGTAGTAAATAAGATACTTCGTGCCAAGCTGCTTAGTACTTGGTCCTGGTTTACAATCTCCACACTCCCCTCAGGCCTTACCTCCCCTTATGTGAGGAGCAAAGTGAGTCTCTTAGAGACTAAGTAAACCACTTGGGGGTCCCACAGCAGGGGAGTGGCCCCTGGGATTCCAAGCCAGGTCAGCTCAGAGCACAAGGCTTTTGAGGGATTCTGGCTGAGGGCGTGTCCCGGATGCCTCGTGGAGGTGCTGGGGCTGGTTCAGTCCTGTCCCCTTGGGCCAGTTCTCTCCCTCTTGGGCTTCAGTTTCCCCATGTGTTGAATGAAGGAATAGCAGAGCATGATCTCCACGACTGGGTTCTGAGGGGGGGCCTGGATGCTGGTCTGGGGGGCCGTGTGCAGCCACACCTCCAGGTGCAGGGCCACAACTTGGCTCTCTCAGCTGGTCCCTTCACTGCTGCTGGTTCTGGCACTTGGGACTGGGCAGTGGGGGTCAGGCCAGCTGCAGAGACTTCCTGGGTCCCGAGGATTTTGGTTTCATGTAGTGCAGGACCAGGCTGGGCTGTGGCCTCCTGAGCTTGTGGAAAGTGGGCTCAGGCCCGGGGTTCGGGGTGGGGCGGGGGATGGAATGGGGCCTCTCCCCTGACGCTCTGATGGGCAAGTGGCCAGGCTGAGGGCCTGGGAGGCCTAGAGCTGCCCCCCCACCCCATGAATAGTCTCTTCCTAGGGAAGTGAGGCTTCCTACAAGGCCTCCCCTGAGCCCCGTTGCCCACACACCCCTGTGCTTGGTCTTGACGTGGTCCCAAGGCTGCCTGACCCTGAGCTACCCCCTCCCTTACATCTCTTTACCTTCCTCGGGGACTTCTGCAGCCCCACCTCTCTCCCTTGAACCCCCAGCCCTGCAGGGACTACTGAGCTGCCCAGGCCAGTGCTGAGGGCTCCTCAGAAGATGACGATGCCCACGGGCTGAGGAAGGCAGGCCTGATGACCCTTAGCCACCCCCTCACCCTGTCTGGTTCACCCTCTCTCCTGCGTGGTATAGAGCTGGTGGCTTGATGGGGATGGGTTCTGAGAGCACCATGTCTGAACAATGCCTGCAATAGTAAGCTGGGTTTCTGGAAGATTCTGTGGTTGAACATAGCCTCTGGGCAGGCCCTCCCTGAGCCAGGCAGAAGGAATGGTTCCTGGGATAGCAGGTGGCACTGCCTGGGACTTTCCACATGCAGGACCAAGGAAGGGGCTGAGCGCCAGCTGTCTCCCCCAACACCCCCCATCCCCCAGTATTCACCCTGGTTGGGTGCTGCCTTAGCCTGGTTCCAGGCCCAGGCCTCCCCCTGTCACCGGAATCCATCACGTTCTGTGGAGCCTTGCAGCTTACAGAGCTCTCTCACCATGTTGTCTCATGTGGCAAAAGTGCGATGAGGCCCAGGCTGCTGGGCCTGTTTACAGGAGGGCTGCTCCCGGATGGGAAGATGAGTGGGCGGGGGAGCATGGGCTCAGTCCCTGTGTCTGAGCGGGCCTCTGCCTCCCCCTGACTGGCCAGTGGGGAGTAGTCCTGGTGCCCTAGTAACAGGAGAGGAGCCGGAGGAAGCCACTGTGGGCAGATCTGAGGTGGGTCCCCTGCCTCTGAATGTCCACTCTGTGGAGGGAGGGCATCAGGGCCCCACCCCCAGGCCATCTCAGGGAGCCCCTGTCCCAGGGACTTTTCTGGGTTGAAGCTTCAGAAGCCCTTGCTGCTGTCCTAGGACACAGTGCGATTTGAATATGGGCCATCCTGTCTGGGGGCCACCAGACCCCCAATCCTGTCTTCCCACTTGGCATCCCTCAGCAAGGTCTTCAGGGCCAGGAACACCCCTGTCCCTTGTCAGGCAGAGGAGAGATCCCCACGCTGAGTCACCCTCCCCCTCCGGGTCTAACCTGGCCCCTGCATCCCAGGGGGTTGAAACTACTCTAACATCTTAACCGCCACCCCCCCTCCAAAGAAAAAAAGGCCAAAGCCCAGGTCAGAAAAACCATTCTCATTGGTTTAGTTATCAACCTCATCTGGGAGGGCTGGGGCCTTGAAAACAGGAAACGACCCGGGATGGGGTTTTGTCACTTCACATACATACACGTGCGCCCACGCATGCACTCGTGCTGACCACATCCACAGCAAGTGGGCCCTGGAGGGGTATGTGTGGAGACACTTACTGGAAGCCTGAGAACAAAACAAGCTGTGCAAAGACAGTGGACCACCAGGACACACACCCAACAGAAGGGGGTTCTAGGGGCCCAGGAGAGGAGAAAGGCAGAGTGGACTTGGGGTCCCTCTCATCGAACTCCTAACGCCCCTCCATGGCTCTGCGCCCCAGACAGTCCGGGAGCGGGATGAGGTCGGTGCCGGCGTGGAGGGGCCCCTTTTCTGCTTGAGCGTAGAGTCGGTTCTCAACAGAGATGAAGCTGCTGCGAGTGGAGGCCGGCAGGGGTGCCCAGGGGACGGGGCTCTGGCTGGGGAGCGGCGCCCACCTGGGTAGGGGCTGGGGTGGGAGGACCCGGTGCAGAGTTGCCGGGCTGAAGTAGCTGGTGTTGATGGTGGCATAGGGGATGTGGAGAGAGGTCAGGGAGGCTTGGCCGGCTGCCTGCAGGGGAGACGGGGAAGGAGGCTCAAGTGAGGCTCCACCTCGTGGCTCCCCACCTCCAGCCCCCTCCATTCCCCTCTCCAAAGCCATCCCCCGATCCTCACACTTGCTCTCCTCTGTGTCTGGGGGCTGCTGTGGCTGGGTGGCTGAAGCTTCATGACAGACCTGGGAGAGAGTTAGGAGGGTCAGAGGCAAAGCATGTGGCTGGCCCAGTGCCCTGGGGATTTGGATCAGCAGGGGCTGGGTCTCACCAGTGCCTTTGCCGACGCAGGAGGTAGAGGAGGTAGACGCAGCCAAAGAGAAGGACCCCCGAAACCCCCAAGATCCCAGCCAGGTCAGCTCGCAGCATGGTGGCTGGAGTAGGAGCAGGGAGCCCTGTGCACAGGGAGAGACATACCGGTTAGGTGCCTGGCACCCCCAAGTCCCTCCCTGTCCTCCCAGGGCCCCCTCTCCTCATCAGCCCCACCTTGGTCTGGGCTGAGGGAGATGTTCCCACAGGCCTCCTGGGAGCCCTCGGGGAAGGAAGTAAACTTGCAGCAGAAGGTGGTGTTGGGACTGGAACTTCTCGCCTCGGACTCTTCCAAGGTGAGGGAGATGCTGGTTCTGGTTTCCCAGTGGGCCCGGCAGGCAGGGTTCCAGCGCTGGGTGCCGAACTTTGGGTGCAACACAGCCAGCGTGGTCCCTCCGGCACCATCGGGGCCCCCGTAGCTTACAGTCACCAGGGAGATAGAGCCAGATCCCAGGAATCCACAGCGGACAGTGAAGGATGGGGACTCGGTGGCCTCCATCTGAACCTGCACCCACACCTCAGGAGTCCCTGTGGGATATGGGCACAGGAGCTAGGACCCAGGCCTGGGTCTCTGCCCCATCCCCATGGCCTCTGCCTCTCTCTGGCCCCCACTCACCAGCAGTGATGCAGAGAGTCAGCAACGCCAAGAGCAGGCCCAGGGCCCGGGGCCTGTCCATGGCTCCCCTCTGGCCCAGGCTCTGGGGGCTGCCGTGGTGGGGACAGCACCTGTGTTTCCGGTCTCATCGCAGGAAGTTTTTACGTGTGAGCGGGCCCTAGGAGCGCTGCTTGGTGCTGTCCGCAAACCTGCCCCACTTCCTTCTCTGTCTTCCTCAGGGTGGTGAATCCAGGGTCGAGGACCCCCTCCCTCTGGAGACTTAAAGTGACAGTGACAAGGTTTTCCCTGTCCCCAGGCTGTGCTGTAGTGTGAGCAGGCTGGTGGCTCAGGCTCCCTTCCCAGCCCTGCCTTAGGGTACCAACCCTGGGCAGGCTCTGGGGAAGGGCGGGAGGGGGAAGGGAACAGACGCCACAGGGGGACCTGAGATGTCCTTCCCGTGGGAGGGAGGGCCCCCCTGGTTTCTCCTTAGGAAGAAGGCTCTGACACCCCCCTCACCCCCAGCTAAGGGGTAGGGAAGTAGTGGAACTTGGGAAGAGGAAGACCTGTAAGCAGGAGAACCAGCAGGGGAGCTGCCTAAGGGGCAGGCACAGCTTGACCAGTGGCTTGCCTACGGAACTCTGCCCCATCTGCAGCCTTCCTTCCCACAGCTGAGGGCAACTGGTTTCTAGCTGCAAAGGCCAAAGGCGCATAGCCACCTGTGACTCTTCACGCATCTCCAGCCCATCAGGAAATTCTGAAGGCTTCCCATCCTGACCACCTGACCTCTTCTTACCACTCCCACCTCTCAGACACAAGCCATCTTTCCCCGCAAAGTGTTGCTGTAAATTGCTCTCCTGTGTATGTTCGTTTACAGAATGAAAATTGACCAGCATGCTGCTGTAAGCAGTGACAAGTGATCAGAAGGCTTTGTGTCCTGTCTCATCCTGTGCTGAGCTTGCATCTGGAGTGAGAGTAGCTTGGTGAGCTCAAGCTTAGAGCCACGGGTCTGTGTTGAGGACTCCTGTCCAGGGTGTGGTGAGAACTGAGAGGTGGCCCCACCTCAGGGCTGTGGTCCCCTGAGGCCTGCCCTGCACACATGCCCCTGACTCAGCATCTCTTCTAATCCTGTGGTGTTAGCCAGTCGGCCTCTTAAGTAAACTCTACCACCCCATCCACACCTGAGAGGCTGGATAAGCAGGGCCTCCAGTCACTTCACTGCTCCCAGCCCAGGTAGCATTCATTCTCTCAACCCTTTGAACTTCTCTCAGGCTCGGTGTGCCAATCTCCAAACCTGACTCTGACCCACTCTCACCACTTCCTCCACTACTGTTCCCGACACAGGGGAGGCCTGTGCAAAACCCACCCACTTCAAGGAGGCCCAGCCCAGCGTGGGTGCCAAGCAGCTGGGCACGTGGGGCTGCCAACCTCAGTCTCCCTAGCCTGGAAGACCCTTATCTTCTCCCCAGTTTGCAAGGGTCAGATCAAATCCCACCCACTCCAGGAAGCTGAACTGAGTGAGCTTTTCCTTCTTGGACAACCATTGCACAGATAGCGGGCCCTAGGTGGTGGCTCTTTTATTAACCTCCACACAGTCCAAGTACACATAGAGGAGCTCAGTACTGGGTGATCAATGGATGAATGAAAAAGCCACGGCACGAAGTTAACTACTCACAAAATTTTCCATTTTTTTTAGTCTTGTAAGCCACGTTGTCCCCAGTAAGTTCTCATTGTATAAGATTCAAAAAACAGAGTAGAAAACATTACTGTTTTTCACCAGCCTGCCCATTCCCTTTTCCCTCCCCATTTTAATTTTCAATAAGGCTAAAATTATCAATCTTTTATTGTTTCTGGATTTTGTGTATTGCTTAGGAGGGCCAAATTATAAAAATAACTTTATAGGTTTCTTTTTATGCTTAACTCTTATGAGGGTTTATTTTTAGCCCATGAATAATTTTAATTTGGAGGTGGTGTTATTTTACAATTTAGGTGGACAGCCAGATGCCTTCAAACTACTTGTTGAATAGTCACTTGCCATCTTTTAAATTTATTATTATTATTGATGTATAGTTGAGTTACTAGTTTCAGGTGTACAACACAGTGATTCAAATTTTTAAGTAATTATACTCCACTTAAAATTATAAAATATTGGCTATATTCCCTGTGCTGTACAATCCTTGAAGGCTTATTCTTTTTTTAAACTGAGGTACAATTAAGGTACAAAATTATACAAGTTTCAGATGTACAACACAGTGATTCACAATTTTACAGGTTATATTCCATTTATAATTATTATAAAATATTGGCTATATTCCCTGTGTTACACACTAGATTGTTGTAGTTTATTTATTTTATACATAGTAGTTTGTACCTCTTAATCCCCCACCCCTATCTTGCCCCTCCACACTTCCCTCTCCCACTTGGAACCACTAGTTTGTTCTCTATATCTGTGAGTGCTGCTTTTCTACTATATTCACTAGTTGTATTTTTTAGACTCCACATATAAGTAATAACATAGAGTATTTGTCTTTCTCTTTGTTTATTTTTGGCTGTGTTGGGTCTTTGTTGCTGCGCACGGGCTTTCTCTAGTTGCAGCGAGCGGGGGCTACTCTTCATTGGGGTTTGCAGGTTTCTCATTGCGGTGGCTTCTCTTGTTGGGAGCACGGGCTCTAGGCGCATGGGCTTCAGTAGTTGTGGCGTATGGGCTCAGTAGTTGTGGCTCGCGGGGTCCAAAGCGCAGGCTCAGTAGTTGTGGCGCATGGGTTTATTTGCTCCACAGCATCTGGAATCTTCCCGGACCAGGGCTCAAACCCATGTCCCCTGCACTGGCAGGCGGATTCTTAACCACTGTGCCAGCAGGGAAGTCCGTCTGACTTATTTCACTAAACATAATACCCTCCAGGTCCATCCACACTGTTGCAAATGGCAAAATTTCATTCTTTTTTATGGCTGAGTAGTTTTCCATTGTATATATGTACACCACACTTATTTATCCATTCATCTGTTGATAGACACTTAGGTTGCTTCCATATCTTGGCTATTGTAAATAATGCTGCTATGAACATTGGAGCGCTTGCATCTTCTCAAATTAGTGTTTCATTTTCTTTGGATATATGCCCAGGAGTGGAATCGCTGGATCATGTGGTGGTTTTATTTTCAGTTTTTTGAGGAACCTCCACACTGTTTCCACCAATTGGCTGCACTAATTTACTTTCCCAACAACAGCGTACAATGGTTCCCTTTTCTCCACCTCCTCACCAACATTTGTTATTTGTGGTCTTCTTGATGCTAGCCATTCTGAAAAGTGTGAGGTGATAACTCATCGTGGTTTTTATTTGAATTTCTCTGATGATTAGTGATGTTGAGCATCTCTTCATGTGCCTGTTGGCCAATATTTGTCTTCTTTGGAAAAATGTCTATTCAGGTCTTCTGCTCATTTTTTAATTGTTTTTTTTAAAAAAATATTGAGTTATGGGACTTCCCTAGTGGTCCAGTGGTTAAGACTCCGTGCTCCCAATGCAGGGGGCCTGGGTTCGATCCCTGGCTAGGGAACTAGATCCCGGATGCCACAACTGAAAGATCCCGTATGCCACAACGAAGATCTTGCACGTGGCAATGAAGATCCCGCGTGCTGCAACTGAGACCTGGCGCAGCCAAATAAATAAATATTTTTTTAAAGTATTGAGTTATACGAGCTGTTTATAAATTTTGGGTATTAATCCCTTATCAATCATATAATTTGCAAATATTTTCTCCCATTCAGTAAGTTGTTTTTCTGTTTTGTCAGTGGTATTTTTTGCTGTGCAAAAGCTTTTAAATTTAAATAAGTCCCACTTGTTTATTTTTACTTTTATTTCCTTGGCCCTTGGCAAAAGATTTAAAAAATACATTGCTATGATTTATATCAAAGAGTGTTCTGTGTTTCCTTCTAGCTTTATGGTTTCCAATCTTACGTTTAGATCTTTAATCCATTTTGAGTTTATTTTTGTATGGTGTGAGAAAGTGGTCTAATCTCATTCTTTTACATATAGCTGTCCAGTTTTCCCAGAACCACTTATTGAAGAGACTGTTTTTTCCCCACTGTATATTCTTGCCTCCTTTGTCATAGATTAATTGACTGTAAATGTATGGGTCTATTTCTGAGCTCTGTCTTCTTTTCTGTTGATCAATGTGAATGTTTTTGTGCCAGTACCATACCATTTTGATTACTGTAGTTTTGTAGTATAGTCCGAAGTCACAGAGCTTGATACATCCAGCTTTGTTCTTCTTTCTCAAGATTGTTTTGGCTATTTGGGGTCTTTGTGTTTCCATACAGATTTTAGAATTATTTGTTCTAGTTCTGTGAAAAAAAAAGTCATTAATATTTTGATTGGGATTGCACTGACCTTATAGATTGCCTTGGGTAGTATGATCATTTTAATAGTATTCTTCCAACCCATGAACACGGTATGTCTTTCCATCTGTTTGTGTTGTCTTCAATCAATTTCTTTCAGCAGTGTCTTAGTTTTCCAAGTACAGGTTTTTTATCTCCTGAGGTAGATTTATTCCTAGGAATTTTATTCTTTTGATATGACTACAAATGGGATTATTTCCTTAATTTCTCTTTCTGATAGTTTGTTGTTAGTGTAGAGAAATGCAGCAGATTTCTGTATTTTAATTTTGTATCCTGCATCTTTACTGAATTTGACGAGTTCTAGATTTTTGGTGGCACCTGTATGATTTTCTACATATAGGAAATCATTAATCATGCCATCTGCAAACGGTGACAATTTTACTTCTTCCTTTCCAATTTTGATGTTTTTATTTATTTTTCTTTTCTGATTATTGTGGCAAGAACTTCCAATACTATTGTTGAATAAAAGTGGTGACAGTGGGCATCCTTGTCTTGTTTCTGATCTTAGAGGAAGTGCTTTCAGCTTTTCACTGTTGACTATGATGTTATTTGTGGGCTTATCATATATGGCATTATATCAAAGTATATTCTTATACCCATTGTGGAGAGTTTTTTTTTTTTTTTTTTTGTTGTGGCAGTACGCGGGCCTCTCACTGTTGTGGCCTCTCCCGTTGCAGAGCACAGGCTCCAGACGCGCAGGCCCAGCGGCCATGGCTCACGGGCCCAGCCGCTCCGCAGCATGTGGGATCTTCCCGGACCAGGGCATGAACGCATGTACCCTGCATCGGCAGGCGAACTCTCAACCACTGCGCCACCAGGGAAGCCCAGTGGAGAGTTTTTATCATAAATGGATGTTGAATTTTGTCAAAAGCTTTTTCTGCATCTATTAAGATGATTATATGATTTTTATGCTTTAATTTGTTAATGTGATGTAACACATTGATTTGTAGATACTGACCCATCCTTGCATCCCTGGGATAAACCCCATTTGATCATGGTGTATAATCCTTTTAATGTATTGTTGGATTTGATTTGCTAGTATTTGGTTGAGGATCTTTGGATCTATGTTCATCAGTGATATTGGCCTATACTTTTCTTTTTTTTGTGATATCTTTGCTTTTGGTATCAGGGTGATGCTGGCTTCATAGAATGAGTTCAGAAGCATTGCTTTCTCTGCAAATTTTTTGGAATAGTTTGAGAAGGTTAGGTGGTAACTCTTCTCTAAATGTTTGGTAGAAGTCACCTGTGAAGTCACCTGGTCTTGGTCTTTTGTTTGTTGGGAGTTTTTTAAATTACTGATTCAACTTCATTAGTGATCATTGGTCTGTTCATATTTTCTGTTTCTTCCTGGTTGAGTCTTGAGAGATTGTACATTTCCAGGAACTTGTCCATTTCTTTTAGGTTGTCCATTTTATTGGCATATAGTTGTCTAGTAACTTTTTATAATCCTTTGTACCTCTGTGGTGTTGGTTGTAACTTTTCCATTTTTGTTTCTGATTTTATTGATTTGGGCACTCTTTTTTCCTTGATGAGTCAGGCTAAAGGTTTATCAATTTTATCTTTTCAAAGAACCAGGTTTTAACTTCAATGATCTTTTCTATTGCTTTTTAAATCTCTATTTCATTTATTTCTGCTCTTTATGATTTCTTTCCCTATACCAACTTTGAGTTTTATTCTTCTTTTTGTAGTTTTAGGTGTTAGGTCAGGTTGTTTGATATTTGTTTCCTGAGGTAGGCTTACATCACTATAAACTTCCCGCTAAGAACTGCTTTTGCCATGTCCCATAGATTTTGGATTGTTGTGTTTTCATTTCCATTTGTCTCCAGGTACTTTTTAATTTTCTCTTTGATTTGTTTTCATTGACCTATTGGTTATTTAGTAGCATTTGTTTAGCCACCATGTGTTTGTGCTTTTTGCAGTAGTTGATTTCTAGTCTCATAGTATTGTGGTTGGAAAAAATACTTGATATGACTTCAGTTTTCAAAAATTTGCTGAGACTTGTCTTGTGGCCTAGCATGTGATCTAACCAGGTGAATGTTCCATGTGCACTTGAAAAGAATGTGTATTCTCCTGCTTTTGGATGGAATGTAATATATATATAAAGTCCATTTGGTCCAGTGATTCCCTGATTTTCTCTCTAGATGATCTGTCCATTGATATAAGTGGAGTGTTAAAGTCCCATACTATTACTGTTACTGTCAATTTCCCCCTTTATGTCTGTTAATATTTGCTTTATGTATTTAGGTGTTCTATGTTGTGTGCATATATATTTTTATTCATTGTTATTGGATTGATCCCTTGATCATTATGTAATGTTCTTGTCTCTTGCTCAGCCTTTATTGTAAAGCCTGTTTTGTCTGATACAAGTATTGCTACCCCAGCTTTCTTCTGATTTTCATTTGCATGGAATACTTTCCGTTCCCTCACTTTGTGTGTCTTTAGATCTGAAGTGAGTCTCTTATAGGCAGCATATATACGGGTATTATTTTTGTATCCATTCAGCCACTGTATGTCATTTGATTAGAGCATTTAGTCCACTTACATTTAAAGTAATTACTGATAGGTATGCACTTATTGCCACTTTCTTAATCGTTTTCTGGTTGTTTTTGTAGTTCTTTTGTTCCTTCTTCTTTTGTCCTATTCCTTTGTGAATTGATGACTATCTTTAATGTTATGTTTGAATTCCTTTCTATTTTTTGTGTATCTATTACAGATTTTTGGTTTGTTATTACCATGAGGTTTACATATAGCAATCTATATATGTGTGATTAAGTTGCTGATCTCTTGATTTCAAATGCATTTTAATATCTTTTTGTTGCGTACCCTTTAACTACTTATCGTGAGCATACAGGATTGTACTACTTTTGCCTTTTAACCTTCCTAATAGCTTGTATGTGGTTAACTTACCACCTTTCCTGTGTATTTGCCTTTACCAACGAGCTTTTTCTTTTTGTAATTTTCATGTCTCTAGTAGTGGGTTTTTTTTTTTTTTTTTTTTTTTGCTTAGTCAAGTCCCTTTAACATTTCTTGTAATGCTGGTTTGGTGGTGCTGAACTCTTTCAGCTTTTGCTTGTCTATAAAACTTTTGATCTCTCCATCAAATCTGAATGAAAACCTTGCCGGGTAGAGTATTCTTAGTTGTAGGTTTTTCCCTTTCATCACCATATCATGCCACTCCCTTCTGGCCTGCAGTTTCTGCTGAAAAGTCAGCTGACAGCCTTATGGGAATTCCCTTGTATGTACCTTGTTCCTTTTCCCTTAGTGCTTTTAACATTGTCTCATTTTTGCCATTTTAATTACAATGTGTCTTGGTGTAATCCTCTTTGGGTTGATCCTGTTTGGGACTCTGTGCTTCCTGGACCTGAATGTCTGTTTTCTTTCCCAGATTATGCAAGTTTTCCACCATTATCTCTTCAAATATGCTTCCTGCCCCTTTCTCTCTCTCTTCTCCTTCTGTTCTGGGACCGCTATACAGTGTTAGTGTGGTCCAGTTGTACTGTCCTCACTTCTTTTTATTCTTCTGCAGCAATTGCCACTACTGTCTTCCAGCTCACGGATCCATTCCTCTGTTATCACTTTAATCTACTGTTCTTTCTGGTGTATCTTTCATTTCAGTTATTAAATTCTTCATCTCTATTTCATTCCTTTTTGTATATTCTTTCTTAAAAACTTCTAACTCCTCACTCTGTTCATCCATTCTTCTCTGAATTTCTCTGATCATCTTTACAATTGTTACCTTCAACTTTTTATTGAATAAATTGCCTACCACCTCCACTTCACTTAGTTCTTCTTCTGGGGCTTTATCTTTTTCCTTCACTTAAAACATGTTCCTCTGTCACCTCATTCTGCCTGATCTGCTGTTTTTATTTCTATGTAACTGCTAGATTGGTTACATTCCCTGACCTTGGAAAAGTGGAGTTTTGTAGGAGACGTCCTATACATCCCAGCAGTGCACTCCCCTCTGGTCACCAGGTCTACATGCTCTAGGGGTGCCCCCTATGTGGGCTGTTGTGGCTAATTACCATGGGCAGTCTGGTAGGCAGAGCCGGCCCCCAGTCCAGGTGGCTTCTAGACCCTGCCTTGCGCAGAGCCCATCAACTAGTTGGGGCCAGGTCACAAGGCAGCTGGTTGCAGAACCCCAGGGGGCCCCAGGAATCTTGATGTTGGTGTCAGCTGGCTAGCTGGGTGGTGCTAGATCCTGGGTTCTCTGGCTAAGAGGCGCAAGGTGTCCCAGAGCTGAAGCTGACCTGCTTGTGGGCAGGGCCAGGGCCTAGGGGATGCTAGGGCTGGTGCCTACCTGCCTGCTGATGGGTGGCCTAGGTCCTGCCATGGCATGCTGTGGTCTGCGGCTAATATCTACCTGCTAGTGGGTGGGGCTAGTGAATGCTCACTGGTGTGAGGTTGGTCCTCAGCCTAGTGCCAGCTCACTAGTACGTGGACTCAGGGCCCAGGGTGTCTTGGGACTGGTGCTTGCCAACTGGTGAGTGGAGCTGGGTCCTGGGTTTAGTGTGAGGTGAAGTCAGGTCCTGTGCCCCCCAGTGGACACTGGCTGTGAGCTCAGAGGGTCTTAAGGAAACCTTCCTGCTGGTGGGTGGGGCTGCCCTGGACCCCAATCTGGCCCACCAGTGGGCGGACACCAACCCCAGGACCACCCCAGCCCTGCAGTTTGCTATGTCAGGACCCAGCCAACATACCAGCAGCAGACGGGTACCAGCCCCAGAACCCCCTGAGCCATGGCTAGTTGCTTGGCCTGAGATATCCCCGAACTGGTACCTACAGGCTGTTGGGTGTGAGGAGCAGTGGTGGGGCTAGGTCCCAAGGCTAACGAACTGGAGGGAGAATTCCAAAATGGTACTTACCAGCACCAGGGTCCTTGTGGCAGAAGCAGCTCCCCAGAATGGCTGCTGCCAGCATCTAGGTCCCCAGGGTGAACTCGTTGCGTTGCCTCCTGCCTCTCCGGGAGACTCTCCAAGATCGCACGTGGCTCTGACTCAGGCTCCTTTCAAATTACTGCTTCTGCCCTGAGTCCCTGAGCATGTGGATTTTGGGTGTACCCCTTAAGAGTGAAGTCTCTCTTTCCCACAGCCCTCTGGCTCTCCCCAAAGTAAGCCCCGCCAGCCTTCCAAGCCGTTCTGGGGGATTCATTTTCCCAATGGCTGGGGAGCCTGATGTGGGCCTCTGAGCCCTTGCTCCTTGGGGACAACCTCTGCAACTGTAATTACTTTTGTGTTTGAGGGTTGCCTGCTCCGGCGGTATAGGTCTTGACTATACTCCAACTCTGCCTCTCTTACCCATCTTGTGGTTCCTTTTTAATATCTTTAGTTGTAGAGGATCTTTTCTGGTAGATTCCAGTCTTTTTCACCAACAGTTGTTCTCTAAATAGTTATAATTTTGGTGTACCCATGAGAGGAGGTGAATTCAGCATCTTCCTACTCCATCTTGGTCAAATTCCCTCAGTCTCTTGGTGTCTTAATCATAAATTCTCACAAATGGGTCTACTTCTGGATTCTCCTTCCTAATCTATCCATTGTTTTGATTATTCCTGTGTCACTATCAAATGGTCCTAAGTAGAATGCTTTTACATTTTGATATTGAAGGTACTCATCCTTTCTCAGTTTCTTGGCTATTCCTGAACAGTATCCAGAATTTTGAGCTCTGGAGACACAAAAGGTCATTAAATCTAACTACATGAGCCCTGTATTCATCATTGTTGGCCTCTTTCCTCTTTTGCCTTGAGGTACAGGTTAGACAACACAGGTCTGGTTAATGGCCACCTCCTGCTCTAACATTTCTTGGTGAAATCCCTGCAGCCACAGCCCAAGTCCTGCTGCAGAGAAAACGGCCCTTGTGGTCAGTCTCTAGAATTAGGCCCTTGAGGCTTTGAACTGGTGCCAGAATTTCACAGCTCTTCAATATTAGGTAAAGCAGGAATAGCCCACCAGGGGACCACACTCTACTTGAGTGTAACTGAGAGGATTTTAGCATAGGTGCAGCACTCTGCTCATGACTGGCTCAAGCCCTCTCTTAGTGAATCCTGGTGACCATTCTTTTATATGAGACATTCCTCATTTGAGTTTGTAGCATGAGACTCATTTATTTTTACATCTATTTTAAATGTGTGTAATAAGCCACTTAAGTTCCTGCATCAAAACAATATAAATAGAAGATAATATCTGAGTATACACTACATGCTAAATTTGTAACTATGAAGCTAATATATGTGAATCACTCACAACAATCACCTTAAGAGGAAACACTGTTCAGCATCACAAGGCTAGTAGTACACAGTGAACAAAAATGTAGCTCCAGAACCCACACTATTAACAACCATGCTGAGCTGCTTCTCCCAGTGGAAAATTTAAACTGAATTACAAGGTTTTTGTCACAAAAGCCAGCAGCCCCTGCCACGTCAGCGGAGAACCTGTGCTGAGTTCCCAGATCGGGATGCCTCCCCCTCCTGATGTGAGCGGCTACAGCACCAACACAAGATGCTTTACTTTTCAGCTTCTACTGCACACTCAGCCCCATCACTGGGTCTAATCTGCTGAATTAAATATATTTTCCTTCAGGTTTCCCCAGGATTCTGGGCTCCTGTTCTCTAGTTTCCTGAGGTTCACAGGTTCATCTTTGGTGAGTTTGCTGGTTTTCTCACTGTTTCTCTGCTTCTTCCTGACCACACTCTTCAGTGCCTATTTCTCAGCCATCCCAACTAAACACACAGGGTTTTCAGTGAATCTGTGCTAAAGAGTGACTTGTTCTGTGGACCCTTTCCAGGATCGCAATGTTCCACCCTATCCCCTGGGAAGGAACTATAGAGCTCAAGTAAGACTTCAAAATGTTTTCATGTGAAAATACCTCACCCCCGCAACCTCTCATGTCATCCAAGCACAAATTCTTCTTTCATCCTGTAACCCCCAGGGTCAGTGTTGACTGGAGTTCAAAGGACAAAGTGAAGACTTTAAGTGTCACTTAGCTGAAGACTTTTCTCAGCAATCTGGAAAAACCCTGTTCACTTTATAATTTAGGAGAGAACAACAACTCACCTTCTGGCAGAGCTCATGGTCACAAGGGAAGAAAAAGTCTTACTGAAAAATATTTTAAATGATTTAAAAGCAATGATTCAACAGTAAGATTAACAGGCCATGCACAGCAATGCCAGTTCCCTGAAAAGCATTCCTTGCTGTCACTTGTCAACATGGGGAAGGTTCAGCCTGTGCAGAGGCCTCCACCTCTCCTGCTGGAACTGGCCTCAGCTATGGTTCCATCCTGGCCTGGGCCTGACCAGCTGGTGTTGCTGCTCATGAAGCCCACAGCCCTGCCTCTGCCAGCACAGGGCTTACTGGCACAAAACGCTTCAGAGCTGTAGTTGTCAAGGTGGGGCATTTGCACTGCACATGGTACAAAATATCCACTGGCGTCATGCAGGAAAAATTAGTATTTCTAATTTTTAAAGATAACAGTAATAAAAAGTTAACTTCATTGTATTTTTAAGTGACACTGGTACCCTCACTGGGATCCTCATGCCATGGTTCACCTCTAACAAGATCAGTATCCTAAGGTCAGAGAGGCAAATTCAAGATTATGACCAACTGCAACTTATGTGCTACAGGATGTAATGGTTTTGTGGTCCCAAACAGTATATACCCCCTTTAAGAATGCTGTTATTTGAATTTGGAAATCATTTTCTGACCTGTTGACAAGTCTTCCAAATGAAGAATCTCAGTGGGTTTTGACTCATTTATTTAAAAAGTAATAAATGCAGCCAAAGAAGCACCTATTCTACTTGGATTTACATATGTTTGAGACATACTCTTTTCAGTTATGAAGGTCAGTTTATTTTGAGAGTTTTTAATGAAATTTCAACTAGAACTTCAGAAAACGTTAAGCCATGATTTTAAAATTGTTTCTCAAAACAGGCAGAGTAGAAAGACGTGAGCTCACCTCTTCTTACGAAAACACCAAAATCACAACTGCAAAACAACCACTGACAAAAAAATGCTGGAACCTACCAAAAAAGATATCCTACATCCAAAGACAAAGAAGAAGCCACAACAAGACGGTAGGAGGGGTGCAATCGCGATAAAAATATTTCTCACTTTGCTCAGTACAACGTTTCTTTTAGAGCAAAAGTGTTTTTTGTACTGTTAACCAATAAAATACTTAAAAACATTTATTTCACCATAAATTCATCCATTACATCTTAATGTGTATAATAAATAAGTGCTTAATTTTAATATATAAATAATTTTTAAACTGATAAATATGTCCAAACTTCTGGCATCTTATGACTCTAAGGTTCTGTTTCAGTTCCTAGTGCTACGTAGCAAAACTAGTGGTGTAAACACCATTGTTTTATCATGCTCATGGATTCTATGGGTCAGGAATCTGGAAAAGGTACAAGAAAGATGGCTTGTCTCTGCTCTCTGATGCCTGGGACCTCAGCTGGAAGACTCAAAAGCTGGGTGTTGGGATCATCTGATTCACATCTGAACCATGTCTTGTGGCAGATGCTCAACACAGGCTGGGACCTCAGCTAGGTCTGCTGGAGGGACACCTACATGTGGCCTTTCCATGTGGCTGCTTGGGCTTTCTCACAGCATGGTGCTTGGGTGCCAAGAGTAAACATCTCAAGAAACAGGACGTGGAAGCTACCAGTTTCTTCAAGGTCTGGGCTTGGAAACTGGCCCAGCTACACTCCACCATATTCTGTTAATCTAGCACTCACAGAGCCCATATTCAAGGGGAAAGGACTTAGTCCCAAACTCTCAATATATTAAGAGTGGCAAAGAATTTGGGGAACACGTTATAAAACTTGCACAGATTCTAAGGTTGGGGCTCTATCTACCACACTGGTCTGTCAGCTGCATAAACATCTCCACATTTACAGAGCTTCCAACTTTCTCTTTTGATCTTGTGAAGTACCAGCTTGGCAGGCATTTAATAACTTGGGACTCCTCTTCCCCCTCCTGGATCCCTAGTGACCTTTACCTCTATATCTCTACCTTAGTTTTCCCACTCTGCTCCCAGATCCCACAGAAAAGCTCCGCTCTCTGGAACTGTTCCACTGAATACAGGCTAAAGATCCCCAGGGCACTGGTAGGCTGCCTTTCTAAAATGAGACTCACAAACCCAACTTCTAGCTTTTATTTGGCAGGGAGGGAGGGGGAAAGAAGAAATGAGCTTGTTTGGCTGAGTGACCTAATCACAGGAAATCATGGATCCTCCTGCAGAAACCCCTAGACTAGCTGGATGACTGTGTCCAGCCTGGGACACCACACAGTGAGAACTTGAAATTACAGCAGATGCCCAGGACAGGGAAGAACTCGAAGTCCTATTTAAAAGGAGAGGCTGAAGAGTTCCTTAAACCACAGAAGGAAACAGTGAAAGCAGAAAGAGACGACAGTGTTTTCATGTATTTGACTGCTTGTCAGAGGGAAAGGAGAGGACAGAGGCGCTCTGCTGTTCCAGGAAGCAGAACAAGAACAAGTCAGAGTTTTAAGGAGTCCAGCATCCGGAGGCTATTTTGTGGCAGTCTGGGTGAGAGATGATAGCAAGTACCGAGAGAAGAGAGAGATCTGAGACATTCTGGAGAATAACCTGCCAGGACTTGGTAAGGAACTAGCTAGGGAAGGAAAGGATGAAGGAGACAATGGTGTTGAGGATTTGGGGCTGGTCATTCAGAATAACTTCTAAGTTTCTTCCCAACTCTCAGATACTGAGATTCTATAAAAGTTCAAACTATGACAGGTGTCTCTGGGATGAGGGCATGAAATTATCCCTGGAAAGAACCTTTGAGTGAAAGCTGCCAAGATATGTGGACTGGCCTGGCCTCAGTGGAGGTGAGACGGGTAGGTGCACCCTTCAGCCGATCAGGATGCTACTCTTACCTTCCCTCTTCAGCATAAACTGTCTCCACTAGATAAACTACTCAAAGGCAGCCAGTCTCCCACTTACTAAGCAATACATCCCTAAAAGCCAGCGTACAAAGCACCTAGCGGGTGTGTGTGTGTGTGTGTGTGCGCGCGTGTGTGCGTGCAGGGGTGCAATGCACCTGGTACATGGGACCACAGGGCTAGGCAGAGCTGCGTAAGACTCCGGGAAAGAACCTGACCTCCATCAGTTTAACAATCGCTCAAGCCACAACCTGGAATTGACTCAAACATGTTTATTGAGCTAAATCAGCAAGGCACAAAAGAGGCGAGGAAAGACATTCCCAAACTACAGAAAAACTAATGGGCTCCTTCCATTCAACACAGGCAGTGCCCCTCTCCAATACTGAGGCGAAGCTCCCACCCCTCCAAACAGCAGAAAATAGGCACTCTGCTCAAACAGAGGGACAGAGCCATGGTGCACCAGGAAGGACAGGGGGCTTATGACTGCTCTATCCTAGCAGCATCAGAGAAAGGTCAGTCAGAGAAAGGTCAGGTTAGAAAGGCACAGCCCACCTCTCCTTCCCCTGGGGAAGGGGAAGGGGAAGTGATGATTCCTTTTGCTCCGTTTCCCATTGGCCTTTTCCAAGTGGTCATGTCGTAGAGGTGCGGAGTGGAGATGGGGAGTGGAGATGGGGAGGGACATAGGATCATGTCAGAAATCCTACAATGAGAAAGATGAAAGTAAGATACAGAGACCTAACAACAGACCAAAGGGCAAAGAGATGATTGCAAGGTCCTCCAGAGGACAACTCTCATTCTCTTCCTGTATCACCCCTCCCCCAGCATACCCCTAAAGCCCCAAGGCAGCTGAGACAGCAGGCCAGGGGCTGTGGCCTTTCTTTCCACCTACTTGACAGGCACATGTGCTACCTGCCAGCGTCTCCCAAGGATGCACAACTCCTCTTAACCTGCCTTCCACAGTCTGTTTTGGGGACGCTCACCTCAGTGTTCAGCTCTGTAAAATCTAAGAGGTCCAGCCTGTTTTCACTGGGGGAAGACTGCTAGAGAGAATGGGATCAAAAATCAGAAAGGTCCCTCCCCACTCCCATCACCTGCAAACAACAACAAAAGGTCCCTTTCCAGTCTCGTGACAAGCTTGAAGGCTGGGGTAGGTCCCTGAAGCAGCCAGGGAGGGAAGAGGAGCAAAGTCAGAGTGGGCAGCAGCGTCAGAGTCATCAGAGAAGTGCTTCCTCTCCTGGCCTGCCAACTGAGACCCTTAAATTTGTTCAGCTTTGGAACGAGAGAATGGGGTTTTTCCTGAGGGGACTTTAGGAAAGACTGATAGAGGCCTTGCTGTCTAGTCTCTGGGTTGAACATGTTATCTGGTTTTCCCTTTGAGCACAAGACCTCCACTCCCCTCTTCTACTGTGTCCTTTCTCCACCTTCAAAGAGAAGAGAAGGGAGCAGAACAGCAGCAGACACACAATCCTTTTCTGTTTATAAGGCGCCTTCACTTCGTATTTTGTGTAAAAGGTCCATTTTAAAGATGAGGGGATTGAGAGGGGTTAAGGAGCTAACTTGATAAAGTGGTAAAACGGGAAGACTTTTAGGTCTCCTCACTCGAATTGCATGCTTCTCCTACTGAACTGGCAGCATATCCTCCTGAGGAAGCAGGCAGGCAAGGGTAGAAAATGGAGTGACTGGAGGAAGAGGGACTGGGGCAGCCCTCTAAGGAGAGAGGAAGGAAGGTCGGCTGTGCCTGTGTGCATGTGTTATGAAGAGACTTGCTGAACGGGCTGCAAGGTTGGAGACTGGGTGACCTTCCATCTCTGTCTAGCTCTAGGACTCCCTTTAATTCTTAGTAGATTAAGAGGCAAAATACCTATAAGGGGATTGAGAGTGTGGGAGTGCTATTCCAGTCCAATGGTATTTAAAATTTTTCCCCCCTATTTCCTTAAAGTCCAAGCAAAGTCAACAGCAACTTACAAACCCTTCCTCCTTTACTCTATGATTCTTTCAAAACATCTTGGGCAGCTTCCAAGGACAAGGCATCATCAGGACAGAGGAGAATCACAATAGTTTCTCTCCCTCACATCTGCTTCCAGTTCTAGAGGGAGAAGGGACTGTTGGATCCACTCACCTTGCCTGTACCTTGCCACTCTTCACTTGAGTCATTCTGAATTTCTAATTCTTCTTCATCCTCTTCCATCAGGCTGAGCCTGGAAACAGTGGCAAAGAGTAGAGGTTTTCAAGGACCCTGGAGAGTTTCTCAGAGGCATCCCAGGGGAACAGGGTGGGCAGTAAGCAGACCAGGGCTCCAGAGTCCCACTCCAGCTTCAATCAAAGCAGCTCTACTTATATCTGTTTTACATACTAGGGTTCCATGTTACACTGGAAGGAAGTGTTCTGTGGTTAAAACAAGTCCACAAAGCACCAGCATAGAAGCAATGAGAAGGAAAGAATCCCCTCACAATGGGTGACATCTGAAGTGAAGACAGAAGATGATGAGAAAAGCTCACCGGGTCAGCCGGCTGCCCAGACCAGGACCCAAAGAGTTGAGTGGAGTCTGGAAATGCTGTGGACTCGAGGACCTTAACCTCTGGGCACCTAAAAGGGGCTGGCTGTTGGGAATGAAGGTGGATCAGTGACAAGAGTTAAAAACAAAGGTAAAAAGAGGAGGTAAAGTGGCCAGCATGAAAGCCAGTAAAAAGCTCAGAGTGGAGGGAAAAAGAGAAAATGTAAAGCTAAAGAAAGGGGAAAGGACCGGAGAAGAACCCGAGAATGAGGGGGTGCTGTGGGAGGGAACAACGCAACAGAAATGACGAGACACCAAACTGGGACGTCACAGCCGGGCTCTCCTGGGGCCGCACCCTTGGGTAAATGCCAATTCTGAGCCGCCGCCTTCTTCCATCTCTTCCAATCCCCCCAGGGGCTGCCTACTTTTCACAGCCGTTGAGGTGAGGGTGGGTGTGGGTGGGATACTGTTCAGCTGTAGGCTTTCCTCCTGTGATGCAGAGATGTCCTCTCTGTGCCGCCTGGAGGGGCCTGCAAAGCAGCAGAGGCA